CATGATAAGACTTTTTAATCTGAGTATACAAATTATTAATATTATTTCGGTAAAATGTTCAGTTTGAATAAAGTTTCTCATTTTAAGTTTTACAATCCCTTACGCCACGCTATAGTACTCTATTTGGATACTATTGTGCCAATTTTATTATTGAATTATAAAGGGTAAAAAAATAAGTCCTATTAGGAAACACAATGAATTATTTCATATGTGTGTCGACATTATGGACACAAATCTACTAATTTTTGCTGTTTGTATATTCTGTTCATTCATAAAGTTGGGTAAAATTAATGATTTTAATATATATTTTTTGGCATGATGATGTTTATAAATAAATACTACCAAGATCTTTGAATCCACATGATAAGACTTTTTAATCTGAGTATACAAATTATTAATATTATTTCGGTAAAATGTTCAGTTTGAATAAAGTTTCTCATTTTAAGTTTTACAATCCCTTACGCCACGCTTTAATACTCTAAATTTGGATATTATTGTGCCAATTTTATTATTGATATATAAAGGGTAAAAAAATAAGTCCTATTAGGAAACACAATGAATCGTTTCATATGTGTGTCGACATTATGGACACAGTATTATGTTTTATGCCTATTTAATAATAATTTATATTATCCTCTAAGAAATATTGTTTTTGTGTTATTATGTTGTATGATGAATTTATCGCTCATATGAAAGAGTATGAAATAAGCATTAATGGAATATTTTTCCTCTCATATCTGAAACACCGACTTACAGTTATTTAAGTTTTTAAATTTCATGGGTTCTGTTATAATAATACATGAATGTTGTATATTTACTATTCATTTTTTTTTTAGTGATGAGATTTGTATCATTTGATTCTGATTATCATTGATGACAATCATATTATCACCACCCACCTCTGAAAATAAATAATAATAATTATGCTAATATCTCATGTTGTATGATGAAAACATAGTTCATTTGAAATAGTATGAAATTAGCATTAATGCAATTGTCTTTCGCTCCTATCTGAAACATGGTGTTCTGTTATTTAAGTCTTCCAATCCCTTACGCCACGCTTTAATACTCTAAATTTGGATATTATTGTGCCAATTTTATTATTGAATTATAAAGGGTAAAAAAATAAGTCCTATTAGGAAACACAATGAATCGTTTCATATGTGTGTCGACATTATGGACACAATAATGAAGTTTATCACGTTTATCATGTCTATAATAAACTCTTTTTTTTTATGTTGTGATAAATTAATATTCCTTTAAAATATTTTCTATATAGTTTTATTACTACAATTTGTATATTTTGTATCAGATAAATAATTATATATTTATACATGGTGAATTATTTTTCATTTAGTGATGAGATTGACATCAAATTATTCTGATTATCATTGATGACAATCATATTATCACCACCCACCTCTGAAAATGAAAAATATTTCATGTTATTTAATTAATACATGGTCCATTTGAAATATAATGATATAAGCATTAATTGAATTGTTCTTTGCCTATATCTGAAACATGTTCCTTTTTGAAGTTTTGCAATCGTTTCCATCACATTTTAATATTATAAATTTGGGTATTTTAGAGGCTATTTTATGAAGAAACATAAATGGTGGATAGAATCAGTACTTTTAGGAAACACAGTTAATGATTTCATATGTGTGCTAACACTATTGACACAAATTAAATACATTTTGCTATTTGTTTATTTTACTATCATAAAGTTAGGAAAAACTAAGTATATTACAATTTTTATGTTAAGTTATTGATTTAAGTCACGTGGTAATTCTTTTATAGCAGTTAACATAAAGTTTATACTTTAACATATTATGATTTATCACAACTTAAAAAATGTATTGTTGTTTTATGTTTGAACTGTACTTGTATTTTTTTACGGTTTATTTTTGCTATTTTGTGTTTTTTTATTGTGTGTTGTAATTGATTAAAGTTTTATCGAAGTAATCAATTATCACCAGCTAAATTACAATTATAATAATTTTTTTATCTTTCAGCCTAGAGGAGATTTCCGTAATGAAGGCAATCATAGTGATAATCACCAAGGAGATAATGAAATTATGAATAGAGGTGGTCGCAACCATGACAGTGGAAGAGGTGGAAGACGTGGTGGTGGTGGTGCTGGTGGGCCTGGTTTTAGAGGTGGTCTACCTAATCGTGGTGATGATCGTCTATCTCGAGCTGATGTTAGTTATTAATGTGTTTGCGTTATATATATTTAAAGATAGAGTTTTGATTTTTAATAATTCGTGCACTTATATATTTTTTAGGCAATGTGGAATGAACGCTTAATGCAAATAATGGGCCCTACTCATGAACTTCCACAAACTGACAACACTGAAAGAAAATTTCTCAGTCAATGTCGTCTTTACATTGGAAATTTAGTTGACTGCACTGAAGAAGAACTAATCGAAATGTTTAAACCTTATGGAGAGGTTTCTGAAAATTTTTTAAACAAAGAAAAAATGTTTGCTTTTATCAGACTGGTAATTTATTTAAATTTATTAATAATCTTAGTATTCATATTAAAATTAAATATTGAACATATTTAATTTTATAGGATTATCGTACTAACGCTGAAAAAGCTAAAAGAGAATTAGATGGTCAGATGCGTAAAGGACGAATGTTAAAAATTCGATTTGCTCCAATTGCTGCTGCTATTAAAGTTAAAAATCTCACTCCATTTGTTTCAAACGAACTTTTGGAGTATGCATTCTCAATATTTGGAGAAGTAAGAGATTTTATTTTTTTGTAGTGGTTTTAATTATTAAATGACAATATCTATTTTTAGATTGAGCGTTGTCAAGTTATGGTAGATGAAAGAGGCAATTCAACTGGAGAAGGAATTATTGAATTTTCTCGTAAAAATGCAGCAAGTAATGCATTAAAACGTTGTTCAGATGGTTGTTTCTTTTTGACTAGGTAAGAATTTTACAAAATTTTCGCATTGTATTTTTTAATATTGTTCATTGCTTTTATTTATTTTTTAGTTCTCTCCGTCCTTGTGTAGTTGAGCCTTATGAATTTGTCGATAGTTCAGATGGTCTTCCAGACAAATTATTGCCTAAAAAAACTATGGATTTCCAGAAACAGAGAGATGTAGGTCCAAGATTTGCCAATCCTAATTCTTTTGAGCATGAGTTTGGTACTCGCTGGAAGCAGTTGGCCGAATTGTACAAACAAAAGGAAGATGCTTTAAAACGTGAAATGAAATTGGAAGAAGAAAAATTAGAGGCACAAATGGAATTTGCTCGTTATGAACATGAAACTGAAATGCTTCGAGAACGTAAATACAAAATTTAATAGCAATCATTCTTTATTTTAATTAAGCAAATTATTAAACAAAAGTACATTTTTATAGAATTGCGCCAACGTGAAATGGATAGAGAACGTCAAAAAATGGAATGGGAAATGAAAGAACGTCAAGCAGATGAGCAAAGAATCCGGGAGGAAGATATTTTTAGAAGACAGAATGATGATTTAAGTATGCGGATGCATCATCAAGATGAAGAAATGAGAAGACGGCAACAAGATAATTCATCGTTCATGCAGGTATGCATATATGTGATGAATACGTTTAGGATAAATTTGAAAATTGTATAATACAGAGAATGCTTCTAAATTATTAACTAAAATTACTGATAAGAAAAAAGTAATAATTTTAAAGAAAACACATTTTAAATTATTCATTAGATATCCAAAGTGAATCCATTCAATAGGACGCTAGTAAGTTGTAATATGAATTATATCATACAGTTTATAATAGCGAGTTTACTAAATCTAAGTATTGTATGCTGTTTAAAAAGTATACTTGTTAATTCTTCAAGTATAGTATATTGTATTCTATTTTCTGCAGGTGTCATATTTCATACTAAAATTCTATTAAAAAATTGTATGCAATTTAATGAATTTTCAAATTTTTGTTAACAAATTTAGTGCAGCGGTTTTGGAACTTTTGGCTCATGTTACTCTAAAAATAAAATTGTGCTTTTCATAAATAAATTTACTATTTTGTATTATTTAAGTATTTAAATATTTTTATTTTTGTGAACAAATCAACCATGAATATTATTTAATTTAAATTTAAGGAGTTGTTACGGTATATTTTAATGTTTATGAAAAAAAAAAATTCAATCTTAATGCAAACTATTTGCTTGTTTTCTGTTTAAATAATTCTTCAAAATGAGGTATCAATATTGTGATAGTCACATATATTTTTTTTCAACATTAGGTTTTAACAAATACATTGATTTTAATATGGAATTTCTGCTTCACATAAACACGATATCACAAAATGTAGTTATAAACATAAAGCTTTATTGCTTCTTCAGGATATTCTCTTCAATGTTGTTTAAAAATTCTAAAAGTGAGAATGAAGAAATGAAGATTGAAAATATTATTCGTAATAAAAAATCAATGAGATATTGGTTATTTGATGATGGGTTTTCACTAAATGGGTCTTTATAATAGAATAGCTTAAAATCAATTGTATTTATCATCTGGAAAATATTTCATGAAATAATTAAAAGAGTCATCACATGATTAGGAATTATTATTAAACTCATTGGTTATTCAAGAAAACAATATTTAAAAGGTGGAAAACAAGTGACTTTAATATTTTCTTTGAAATTTACCAATTTCACCACATAATTGCAGAATATGAGTTTCTTTACTTTGTTAGGACGGGTTGAGCCAATTTAATTTTTCAAAAATGTTTAATATGCTATTTTCGTAATATATTGATAATTATGATCTTCATTCGACTAATTGTAAAGTTCTTGTCTTGTCTAAATAAAATTTATCAGTAGTATAATTTACTTTTTCATATTGTAATATGTGTATGAATCTATATAGTTTTATAACAATGAATTGTATTATTTATATAAAGCAAATTATTTTTCTTTTAGTGATGAGATTTGTATCATTTCATTCTGATTATCATTGATGANATAATTATGCTAATAATTTATGTTGTATGATGAAAACATAGTTCATTTGAAATAGTATGAAATTAGCATTAATGCAATTGTCTTTCGCTCCTATCTGAAACATGGTTTTCTGTTATTTAAGTCTTAAAATCCCTTACGCCACGCTATAGTACTCTATTTGGATACTACTGTGCCAATTTTATTATTGAAATATAAAGGGTAAATAAAATGAGTCCTATTAGGAAACACAATGAAAAGTTTCATATGTGTGTCGACATTATGGACACAGTGTTATGTTTTATGCCTCTTTTAATAAGTTATCATACTATCATCTAAAAATTATTGTTTTTGTGTTATTATGTTGTATGATGAATTTATCGCTCATATGAAAGAGTATGAAATAAGCATTAATAGAATATTTTTCCGCTCGTATCTAAAATACCGACTTACAGTTATTTAAGTTTTTAAATTTCATGGGTTCTGTTATAATACATTAATGTTGTATATTTACTATTCATTTTTCATTTAGTGATGAGATTTGTATCATTTCATTCTGATTATCATTGATGACAATCATATTATCACCACCCACCTCTGAAATGAATAATAATAATTATGCTAATATCTCATGTTGTATGATGAAAACATAGTTCATTTGAAATAGTATGAAATTAGCATTAATGCAATTGTCTTTCGCTCCTATNATTTTGTATTAGATAAATAATTATATATTTATACATGGCGAATTATTTTTCATTTAGTGATGAGATTTGTATCATTTCATTCTGATTATCATTGATGACAATCATATTATCACCACCCACCTCTGAAAATGAATAATAATAATTATGCTAATAATTCATGTTGTATGATGAAAACATAGTTCATTTGAAATAGTATGAAATTAGCATTTATGCAATTGTCTTTCGCTCCTATCTGAAACATGGTTTTCTGTTATTTAAGTCTTCCAATCCCTTACGCCACGCTTTAATACTCTAAATTTGGATATTATTGTGCCAATTTTATTATTGATATATAAAGGGTAAAAAAATAAGTCCTATTAGGAAACACAATGAATTATTTCATATGTGTGACGACATTATGAACACAAATCTACTAATTTTTGCTGTTTGTATATTCTGTTCTTTCATAAAGTTGGGTAAAATTAATGATTTTAATATATAATTTTTGCGTGATGATGTTTATAAATAAATACTACCAAGATCTTTGAATCCACTTGATAAGACTTTTTAATCTGAGTATACAAATTATTAATATTATTTCGGTAAAATGTTCAGTTTGAATAAATTTTCTCATTTTATTTTTGAAAGAAAAATTAGCTTTTAATTGTTACTCTCCAATGTTTAATGTTCCACAAGATATGTATAAATGATTTGGATCATTTTATTCTGATTATCATTGATGACAATCATTATCACCACCCACCTTTTGAAAATGAATAATAATTATTATGCTGATAATTCATGTTGTATGATGAAAACATAGTTCATTTGAATTAGTATGAAATTAGCATTAATGCAATTGTCTTTCGCTCCTATCTGAAACATGAGTTATCATTGTTATTATTCAAATAAAGAAGTTAAAAAAAAAATTAAATATTTTAATGTAATAATTTATTAATTTTTTAAATATTTATTTCATTTTTAGGATCATAGAGGAGGACCACAGGGTAAACCTCAATTTGATGTACCTCCCATGCCTGTGGAGGGAATGTCAGTACGTGAATTGGAAGCGATTACTGGTAAATAAATTTACTTTTATAGTTTTGAAAATCCAATGAAATTTTAGTTTTTGGTGAATAAATGTGTAGGAAAACTATAGATTTTCAAGTATTAGTAAATATTTAAGAATTTTAGGAGTAAAACATGGTAAGAGTGTGTTACGATGTTGTGAAGAGAAGCATGTGTGTGATACTGAGTATGGGTTATTTTACAGAAAAAGAGTGAAGTATATGAATGTTTACTAGATGAATTATTGGAGTCACTTGAGAGGAAAGATAAGGGAATAAGATCATGTTGTTACTGTCTGTGTAATGACACAGAAAACTGTTTTTGATAATTTGATTCCCCCTACAAAGAGTGTTGTAAATATCAAATTCATAAAACTAAAATGTATCGACTTGTGGTGTTGCATACAATATATGATATGCAATGATAAATTATAGGCTGTAAAAATTTAAAGCAAACATTTGAACTGATAAATGTAATAGTTTGTAAGCATATGAATGTAGCACAATGCAATGATTGATAGCCAATAAACCAGGGTTTAAAATTAGACCTGAACAAAAACTAGTATAATAAAAACTGTTAATTTAACAAACTAAAACTAAAATTTTCATTTATATTTGATAAGGTTGTACTGTGAACTCGTTACTGGTAAGTTTAGCAAGTGTAAAGCAATAAGGCAATAACCTTATTTTTATAAGTAACAGTTTTGAACCAAAAAAATTTAAAAGTGAAGTTACTTTGGTTAATAAGGTTAAGGTACCAAAAAGATATGAGAGATGCGTTAAAGTGATTATGGAAAAAGGTAGCTAATCCCAAATAGAGAGGGAAAAGAAGAATGAGACTAGAATTTTTCAACAAATTTCATTTTTTTTTTTTTTTTTTTTTATGCAGCAGCACAAGGAATGGTAATGTACCAAATTTTTTTCATTATTTTATATCTTTTAAGGTTTAACTGTTTTTATAAATTAATACTAATATTACTTATGGTACACAATAAGAAATTGTATTCCATCGGTATTAGTGTAAAATGCTGAAGTAATATCTTATTTTTTTCTCAAAAAAAATTATGAATTTATTTCAATATCAAATAGTTTAGTTTGATAAATCTAATGCTAAATTTCAATAATTATTTCATACATATAATTATCTAAAGTTCAATAATTATTTTATACTTATAATTATTTCGTGCTTATTCCCTAACAGGGTGGGGAAAGCCAAGTGGCAAATTTACAGGTTAGTCTTTTGAAGCATGAATTAATATATTTTTAATCATTTTTTATCATTTCTTAGAAGTATATATGCTTAAGATATTATTCATCTCAATTGTGAAAGCAACTATTTGATAGTTGTCTTTAATTGAGGTAATGTGTTTGGATTTGTGCGGTGTTCGTAATTTTCAGGGCTCATGGCAATGAAGTATTTTACTATATTACTTTAAAATATGACTGAAAATAAAAATCTTAATAATTTACTTTATACTTTTCTAACTGAACAAACATTGCAAATGTGGCAACCAAAATTTGCATGTAAATAATAGAACACAATATGTTTGGTATATCTATACTGTATTCTTAGTTATTCAGAAAAGTAATTGAATTATTTCAATATGCATATACAGTTTGACTTGTCAGTTTTTATACTTAAATGGTGACATATTTGATGATATACTACTAACAACCAATAATCACTGGTATTATATTATATTACATTTTGTTTATTTATGTTGGTATAATTTTACTTTGACTTGACCGTGTAAAGAAACATATTACAAAGTATTCTTACACAGTGTTTGCCTACCAAGGTTAAATATTATTACCAAGAATACGAAACTTAAATAATGTTACATTATTTAGTTAATATATTTTCAAAGTTCAGGGAAATAATTATTATCTTTATCAGATAACAGTTTATTGTAAATTAATTTGAACTAAAAGTCTTTAATTAGTGTTGGAAAATAATTTGAATACACATTTTGATGATTGAATTCTCATTTATAATAAAACTAATACACTAATCTATAAAACACTACTAATAGTTTATTTATGATTTAAAAGAGCCAAAATAATTGTCATTATTATTATTTTAATATTGGTCCTATAAATATATAATTATCTATGATTATGAATTATTGGTGTAATAAAACATAATAGTATAATCGATTAGTTAGTAAATTATATACAGTAAAAGTGGGTGAATAAAAACAGTTTTGCACCTTGATATGCTTATATCTTTGGATATAAGTTATAATTTTAAGTATACCAAATGTTGAATCTAAATTTATACAGATGTAATATTTAATTATTGCCTTAGTATAATATTGAATTTTTTTAAGTACTGTGTTTCTATTTACCTGTAATTAAAGACGAAAGAAATATATAAACAAAATAAACTAGTCAATTTACTTTATTTCAGTCTTGTATTTGAAATGTGAATTACTAATTTTGTACAGATTTTGAGATTTAAACAAAAAAATAACATTAATTAAATTTTTATTTTTATAAACTGTAACAGTTTTTGAATTTTCAACTTATACAACAAAACAGTCATTTAACATAAACAAATGTAATAAAACCTATCTTAATTTAAACAATGATTCGAAATATATTTTAAATTCATATAATCCTCTTCTATATTGTTCAGAAGCATCCATCTTACCGACTATTTTGTTGATTTTGAATTTTCATACATTTTTAATACTTGGAAAGCCAATATATTCATTAAACGTGCTCACGCTATTTGTTTGGTTAAATTTTGCATGTATTCAAATTCTGATTTTTGGAATTTTTAAATAAAGTTAAAGCTGGTATTTTTAAATATTTTGATTTTTCATAAAATTTACGCCGTGATACAAATTTTGGTTTTTCAAATAAGAACTTAAAAATTCTATAAATAAACCAAGTATTAATTGAAATTAATTTTGATATTAAAATTTTTATTTTATAAAATTGTTATTAGATTGTGATTAGATTGATTAGATATTTCATTTTTAAGTTCATTTGTGTAGCCGCGCGACATGTGACGTTTTATTAGTATTCCATTACTCTCTTCGTACCTTAACTTAAAAATAAAATCAATGAAAATACCTCCTCAACAGGTTAGCGTAAATCAAAAATGTTAACACCTAAATTCATTTAAAGTAATACTTCATCTATTTATGGAATATTTAATCTAGGTTCTCGTTTGTAAAACCAAAGTTGTTATCGCCAAAGGATATTTTTTAAATATTGTAAAAAATCTAAGTATTCGAAAATATCAGCTTCAACAACATTTAAAAATTCCAAAAATCGAAATTAGAGGATGCATGTAAAATTCAACCAAAAATAATGGGATGAGCACACTTAGTGAATCATTCTGTATGTGTTTATATATTCAAAAATAATTTCTGGAGTTAATGTTTTTTTTAAAAAAATTATCTAAAAGTTATTACAATTTACATAACATATAAGAACTTTTTCAATCGGAATATATATTTATATATATATTCTTGATATTTGAGACTTACATATATATCTGTTGTCTCAATACTGACAAATATCACTATTTAAATTGTAATATCACTAATTTCTGATAAATGAAATTCAAACAATCTGGACTATATCTTCAGCATGTTTCTTTTCACATTTCTTTTAACGCGGCGTTATGAATATGTAAATACAATAATTAACCAGGAACGATACTTGGGTTCAATGAATTAATCTATCCTTTACATTCACTCTAAATTTTGTAATAAAAATTATTATTCCATATTTATCAGATAAATTGACAATGAAAAGTTTATTGTCGACATTTTCGGCTGTTAAATTAATCAAAACCCTTTTATTATTACCAATTATTGTTTGAGATATAGATATAATACCAATCTATGGTCAGAGGTCAACAATTATCATCAAATTTTGTTTTAGATTCTGAGTGGAGCGAAAAAGCTTATGAATTTAAAAAGATGTTTTTTTTTACCAGAAGACTAGCTTGGATTTTTATGTGTAGCACCTTTTCTGAAAGTAAATCGGATCGGCTTGGAGAAGTACTTTAGAAAGGTTATTTTTCGATTTTCTTAGGAGTCATCAAATTTGAAAAATCGAAAAAAAAAATAAGAATAGTAGGTATTAGTTAAAATATATTATGGTCTTTTTTCTGTGAGCAATTTTGCTTCAACTGTTAATGAAAGCAATGTTTCTAAAAGGAAATTTTACTAAAGTGGTACTTTAAAAAGTCCTTTTTTTGATTTTCCCAAGAGTAGTTTTCTCAGCAAATGTAAAAAATTAAGATAACACCGGGAAAAATGGGAAAATTGGTACAACATTAAATTATCTATAACTGGCTGCACCTGTCCCCATTATCCTGGGGCGTCTTTTTATAGATTATAACATTTTTTAATAAAAACATAAATCAAACAACTAACAATATGTATAATATATAAAGTTATTAGCAATATTAAAAGTAATTTTCCAAAATTGTTTTTTCACCCACTTTTACAGTAAATATTTACAATGTATTATTCAAATTGTTCATTTAATTTATACATCAATGTTTCAGTAGAATATTTTTACATCGTCATTTATCAGTTCTAATAAATAACAATTTATAATTAAATTGGCTAATTTTTTTCTTTAACATATTTAATACCATTAAAATAAAATTTTTGCTATTAAATAAATTAGGAATTTTAAAATGATTATATTATACTCGGAACTTCTACAACAAAATGAAAATAGGTATTAGTTTTTTTTTTTTTTTTTAATTTGTGTGAAATATCGTAGAAATGCTTGATTATAATATTTTCAAATGTCTGATCATTTACTAAATGTATACTATATTTATATGTA